TTGTTGTGGATAAGTTCTCCAATATATTCATTCCAGTGCTGAAGAATTTTTTTCTTTCTCTAATATGAGCATCCCTCCTTGGATTTTATGCAGCCTTTTGATGAACGCGTCTTCTGTCCTGTTCGTTCTCTTATTTTTTTTATGCATATCTCCTTTATCAGTGATACTCATTCTCCCTATTTCTGTACATTTTTTCATTGAGCCATTCTTCTTTAGCCTGCCTGCATTTTTTCCTTATTTCATTGTGTAGTTTTCTATATTTTGTTCCCTGTCTTGGTATTGTTTGCTGTCTCCTTTGCATCAAGTTGAGAATCTCGTCTGTGATCCATTCATTTTTTTTTCTTCATCCATTCTCCTTCAGGATGATGATGTCACTAAAGCTTCCCTTAGTGTTTCCCCATTTCAAGATTCCATTTTGTCACTCATAATTTCTTTTCACTGTTCATATAGTTATCCTTCAGGTTTGGGTTATTCAGGAGTCTGTTGTATTACAATTTGGGCTTCTTCAGTTTCCATAGTTTCACAGTCAGGTGGTCACTTCTATGGTCAGCAATTGGATAGGTTTTGAAGTGAACAACTGCATTCCTGAATCTTTTGTTAATAGTTATGAACAAATTAATGAATCAAAATGAAATGAATAATTTAAATGCAAGAAAAACAATTGTACATAAATGAAAGCCTGATAGAGAAGGAGTTTTAAGTTGTAGAGGTGAAAGAGATCAAGTAAATTAATTATCAGCAGCCAAATTGATTGTAATCGGCCCCCATTGATTCATTATTTCTAAATAACATTAATCTACCACAGCACAATGAGCCAACTAAATAACAAAGTTGCAATCCCTAAATCATAACAGTATTGAATACAATGTATATTTATCTGTTTCCTGTTGCTATCTCCCAAATAATGTCAATACATCTTACATAATAAAGCTGTCATTATTTGCCTCAGCTGGCAAAACATCTTCAAAGGAGTTTGAACCAAAATAAAATATTGTGAGTGCAACCTCAGAAAGATTCAAATATTTCCTTCTAAAATAATGGAAAATGACTTTTCAAATTTTAGTGCCAAGAAATGTGGACATAAAGAATTTTTTTCTTTTTTGCTAACAATCAATTAACACTAAAAAAGTAAACTTTAAAATATTTAAATTTAAGATGTCAAAATGAAAGGGAGTAATTGAATTGGCTGCCTTTTATATGAATAAGGTAAGGATTATCAGTGTACCAATGTTCAATGCAGTCAAAAATGGAAAGATCCATTAAAGAAATTCCAGTTTCCTCACCACCGTAAAATTTTCTGCTTTTGGAAAATATGCTCAACAATTAGAGAAAAAGTGTAATCAATAGCATTATGAATTTTCCAATAAGTCAACTAAAAAAAATAAAAAAAATAATAAAAAAAAGTACAAATCCTCTTCTTTTCTTTGAGTGCATGTTGGAAATCTAACAATTTTTTCTTGTAAAAAATTTAGCATCTACATTAAAGTTTTTCCATACATATTTTAAACAAAATTAAAAATGTAGAAGTAAACAAATCTAAATTAATTTCTTCAAAAACTCAAAACAAAAACTGAGAAAGTGATAGAATTGTTTTCATCTTTTAAACAGAATACAGAAAAAAAGTTATTCCAGAAAACTGAAGAATAAATTAATGCAAATATTAGTTATGAATAATAATTCACCTGAAATGTTACTGTTGCCATTTAGAAATGCATCAAAATTATTTTTATATTAAAAAAAATTTATTTTGCATGTGTCAACATGTACTCTGGTCAAGCTTCAAAATGTTTGTGTTGAAGAGATATTAAGAAAAAAAAAAAATCAAACTCTGTAAATTAATATACTGTTGACAACAAATTTGACATGAATAGAATAAAACAATATAACTATTTAACACTACTTTCTTATCAATATCATTCATAAAAATATAAGACACTGCAACAGATTGCAAACTTGGGAAGCAAAGAACAAAGAGAACTAATGTACTTGAAGAAAACAGCCATATGAATAAAGCTTGAATGAAAGAAAACAAAATGATGAATTTGGTAATTAACTAGTAATTGTTATAAATAATAATGCAATTTTTTTTTAAATTAAGGAATTTTTAAATAGTACTGTTTTGTTCAAAATAAAAATAAATTTAAACGAGCAAAAAAAAAAAAAAAAAAAAAATAAATAAAATAAAAAAATATGCTTTTGTCTATTAAGTATGTTAACATCCGCTTTGTAAAATTACTAAAATATAACAGTAAATAAGATAAGAGTAAATTTCTCACAAACCAACCCTCTTCAAAGAAACAAATCAAGCAGAAAAAAAAGCATCCAGTCCAGGAAGAATGCTTTTACATTTGTAAATGTTTTCATTCAACACAAAATCCAAGGAGGTGCTGAAAATTTTTTGGCTTGTCTCACTTCTCAAAATCTAACGAAACGACCAAGCATTTGGAGCAAGGGAGATTTAACTTATTGATCAATCCAAGAACTTTTCAACTCAGCCCCCATATAATATATAGAGCAATTGGAGTTACATCAACAAAAAACATTTCACTGTAGAGCAAGGTTACCAGTTAACAAGCTTTGCAACACAATCCTGCAAAAGTACTACTATGGGTGATGCTATGAGAGAGGGAGAAAAAGGTAGATAGATAATAAAAGTAATAGTAATAACAACAAAGAGACTGGCATCCAGTAGATCAGAGGCAAAAAAATGACCATGAAAAGTTACTAAAAAACAAAAAGCATCTTAAGACATAACTTATCCTATTTTTAAAGAAAAGATTACGTCAAAACAGTAAAATCATAAAAGATACTGACACTAATTGAATCTTAATATAACTTTCAGTATATATAGAAATTTATATAGGACATTTGCTAGTAAGATATTTTTTTTATATTGATATTCATCATTGCATAAAAAGAAGTATAAATGGTAACACAGAACTTGCTAAAAATGATTGCAATCTGAATAACACAAACCTTTTTAACTCTAAACAATTGTATGACTAAAAGTAGAGAAATACTTCTACAAAGTTATTTTAAGTGGTAGGAATATTAAACAACTATTAAATATAACTAAAAGCAATCAAAGACAACAAAAGTAAAACATGACATATCTAAAATTCACTTAAAATGACAACTGGCATGTTTACAACCTAAGAGGAATCTGATGACTTTGCACCATTTTCAATTCTTAAATATCACAGTAAACCATGTGACAATACAAGGCATTTTTCCCATCATTCCTCTATATCTGCAATCAAATAGAAAATGTCCTTTTAAGGGAAAACACTGAGAAATGTTTTAGCCACATGTCAATCTATTGTGCAATCGTGTACATGTTATATGGCTATGCTTAATTGAAATCAGCATAATAAGGAGAACTTTTTGGACATGCAAAAAACAGCTGTTGCTGAACATTGAAACAAAAAATATATAAATAACAGAAGAATGTGGAGTAAGTCCGGAAACTAGTTTAAGAAAAAAAAACTCATTTGCTGTAAAATGTCATGCAAATCTCTTGTCAGCAATATTAATGTTCCTTCAGTAATAAATCATGCAAGTGTAACCATCTAATTAGTTATAAATCTGAATATATATGAAGTATATTTTACAATATACAAAAATATACTATCGTTCATATTACCTACACTTTCTTAATTAGTCTCCATTGTTTACATACTTAACTATCACATTTCAAAAAGGAACATGTAAGAAAGGAACTATTAACATGAAAATTTACTTCTGAAAACATTTTGAAAATAAAATTAGAACAAAAGCAAGAACAGTGTGCAACAAGATTTTACATATTTATATTTTATAAAAAAAAAAAAGGTAAGCTGTTTAGTATTAGGTTTCTTTTCCTAAAGGTCTTCTCATTTTCTTTCAAGTAATTAATCCCTTGCATCTTAGTCACATTATTGCCTTGCATCGGGTGAATTTTTTTTTTTGGGGGGAGTTAAACAGAACATTTCCTCTCATATTTTATATATATATATATATATATATATATACCCCTTTATTCAAACATGTTTCATTGAATAATATAGACATATTGTATCTACTTAATTTTATACTGATTCTTTCAAGTTGTCCAATCAGTTTCTTGATTGTTAAGATGAAATTCGTCAGGAAGGTGGTGTAGTTTTTTTTTAACGTAAGTACTATGTCTGCATTATTCAATGATTATATATAAAATCCACTGGCCATAAAGGTGTAGGTAACTTTTAATCAGTTTAGTAGTACATAGATGTACTCCAGATATTACTGCCTTATGCACATAATAGTTTTTATTTGTTTAAAACACACACACAAAGGCAATCTGCATTTTAACTTATCTGGACTTTTTTCTAAATACTCTTTCACATTATGAATATTAAAGATTAAACTTTTGCCTATGTTCTTTAACTATCTTTCTCTTCAAACTTCAATTACCACACAGTAAATGCTTTTTACTTTATGTCTTAAGAACTACCAAAAACACAGTAGAAGATTATTATATGGATTTAGAAAATAAAGAAAATTTAATAAAACTTCAACTAAATTTATTAATATTATTATGACTTAAAAGATAGGAATTTAAAAGTTCTCTCCTTATGAGAGCTAGTTCTATAATGACAGGCATTAAAATAATTACATGTATTTTTAGAACTATTTACTCTTAGATTACTAGAAAGTTCCTTTAACTGGTAATAATAAAAATAAAATATATATTATAAATTCTAATTGTATCTACATATATTTCCAGACCAATTACTAAATGTACACACTTGTTTTGTGCCGAGCCCATTAGCAAAGAAACAACTGTCTAATCTGACAAACGTATTTAAGATGAAGCAAACTGTTAGAAAGCAAAAATACAATTTTGTTTTTAATAATAATCATCGTCGTCGTCGTCCCCAGACACAAACTATTCCTTAATCATGATCATTAATTAATAAATGTTGTCATGCAACAACAAAGTAGACACAAAAGAAACTGAATGCTTTCAGGAACATACTCACCATTTCGTTTTTCACTATCAGCTGGTTTCATCTGTATGGGGTGATGCATCTGAAAGTGAAGAAAGAAAGAGAAACAATTTTAGACTTCATTAATTGAAATAAAAGTTGTAACACAAAGATGAAAGGAAAGTAGGAAAATTGTCTTAGAAATTAGCCAGATAGTACACACAAGTTGGTCAGGATAAGAAAAAGAAAAAATACTTGGTAAAGTATACAAGCTAAAAAAAAGGACTAATCTGAATTCAAAACTGTGAAGACATCAATAGGAAACTACTCCACCATATTTATAAAGATGTCATGGCAATGTACAGATAACAGATTGTGAAAAAACCATGATTGCTTATATCAAAAAAAGGAGTTGGCATAAAAGGGGAAAAATATGAGCAATGTATGAAATGTACAAATATCAAGCAATGAGAGAACTTCTTACATTGAAAGTGTTCTTGATTATAAAGATCATGGTTTGAATAAAAATGGACTAAAAATTATTTTTCAGAAATAAATAATATGCAGTTAAAAAAAGTTTCTAGATGAATAAGACTTTACTAAAAACTGGACATATTCACCAACGACAAAGGTACATAATATTAAGTAAAGAACTGATAAAGGTTTTCAGCAAAAAATACTGATTATGTTCCTTGCTAAATTGGTATTCAAGGAAAAATTAATTTCTAATAAAGAAGCTATTGGGAAACCTAAACAAAGAAAATAGTTACAAATCTTACAAACTGAATTATAATCATGCTTGAATTTCTTAACTGAAATAATGTCAATTTATTAATTTCTGACTAGAATTTCTTTCACTTTCTATTACAACTCTCCAATCCTTTTTCTATAAATGCTACTGTGAAAGAAGCATTAATTGGCAATGAAGAATAAGCCTCTTGTAAGGAATGAGATCTCAGAGCAGTGATGTTTTGGATTTGAGTAATTTTTTAAATGGTATTATTATAAATATCCACTATTGAAACCTCATTTCTTGTGATACCAGTTAAATGAACAAATGCAACATTATTTTGAAGGGGGGGGGTCATTTGGCTGTATTTTCAATCACATCTCATAGTTCTTATCAACAAAGAATTATAAATTGCCAGATTTTCCTTTAATGTTTTTCGCAAAAATTACTATCAGTTTTCTAGAACAGTATTCAATTTTCAAACAAAGCATTTCGGAAATTCTATAGCAAAAAAAAATCAAGCGCTTCAAACCAGATTCTATTGTTAGATTAAATCGGGATAACCACAAAATACAGTGAATATTTTTTTCTATCAATAGAATTTTTTGGCAACCTTATATCAACCTATAGTAAAAAATATTTTATTAAAACTTTTGGATAAAGTATCATTTCCTTTCTTATTAAAACAAATACAAAATTGATGTTTTTTGGGGTTTTTTTTTTACACAAACAAGCAAGTGAGAAAATATAAAATTAGTAAAAATTTATTTATCTTTAACAAGAGTGCTTTTGTGTAAGCTTTCACAAATAAGTTCAAATTATATGGTCATTTAAAGTTAAATGAGACCACAATATCTACTTACATCTAATTATTGTCTATTTAGTTTCCATTCACAAAGTCTGTACTACCTAGTCCAAAGGTTGAACTCTCAATTATTATTATGGCATCAAATTTATGAACCCCTAATACAATAGGACAATAGCCTATGAACTAAAGGCCTTGGTTCATGAATGTGGTGATATAGTAATTGGGAGTTCAATCCCTGAGCTAAGTAATACAGACTTAAACTCAGTGGGAACAGTGCAAGCAATAATGGATCAGTACTAAAAACAACAAAACAAGATATCCCTAGGCATATACAGTAGAATGAGAACAATCTACTACTATAGTTCAAATAAAGATTTCAATTTGAAATTCCTTGAAAGTTGCTTGGATTGACAGATACCTGAAGAAAGTCAGAGGGCACAAGGGTCTGTTGTGATAGCAAAAAAGACAAGGACATAGGTCTGTAAATAATTTTGACTAATATTCACATTAGCTTTTTTTTGTTACTTTTTACTCAGCCCAAGTAAATCTAAGAGAAAAACCAACTAAAAATACTAGTAAAAATTAATAATAAAAATGCAATAAATAAATTAGAAGCTATTAAGTCCTTAACAATACCTGTTGCTAGATACTCTTTCAATATGACAAAGTGGAATCTAGAAGAGATACAAAGAATAATTAGAAGGATTAGAAAATCCCTACCAAGTTTATCATGTATCCACCTAAAGCAGATGTACACTGATTGTACCAGTAAAGTGCAGAGATAGGTAGAGGACTGATCCAACTAAAACACATATACAAGATTACAACCATAACAGTTTTGAAAAAGGTACTACAAATTGATCAGTGATTGGATACTAAAGTTTGTTAAGCAGCATGAATCCAATAAAAAGCTTCAGCCAATTATCAAAGCCAAAAATTCAAGCAAGATCTACAATGGTACAAACAAAATGAAATGGAGGACAAAAATATCAAAGACAAACCAAAATAGGCCTAAGTAATTTGAAAGCTAAATTGGAAGAGAAACCTTCACATGACCAACACCCAATGCAAGCACTGGACTCTGATGTTGACAAAAATATGACCCATCAATTGTGGAACTCAAGATTGAAATGAGAAACAGAAGGATTAACCTTAGTTGCTCAAAATCAAAAGGCATAACAAGCATGTATTTTGATGAATGGGACCAATCTAAAATGTTGCTTTCGTACAAACACTGAAGAAAGTATTGGGCATATAATATTTGCGTGTTCCACCCTAGCCCCAAGCGAATTTAAATATAGAATAGAAAAATACTTGTATTGAAAGATTTGCCAATATTATAAGCTTTCCCATGCAGAAAAATGAACCTAAACATCAACATTGATAGATGATGAGAATGTTACCATTCTCTGGGGCTTTACCATACATACAAAATGCTACAGCACAATAGATGAGATACAATAATAAAAGACTTTAGAAAACATGTTATGTCATTGACATAGCCATCTCATTTGATAAATATCTCAGCAAAAAATTTAACAACCTTTCAAAATATAAGGACTTGAAAATAGAAATTTAAGAAGATTTCATTTACACACAACCACAATTTCAACAATAGAAGCACTGGGAATGATTGATTAAAAAGAAAACTGATATGCACATTAAGAAAATCCCAGAAAACTAATCATATCTAAAATAAAAAAAAAAGTGTATTCAGATAAGCAGTGCTCTCTTAGTCAGAAAAAATAAATGTGATATGTTCAATAACTTTCTAAGAAAGAACTTGTTACTTCAAGTCTCAGGTAAAAGACTTGATTGTATCAAATAACAAATCAGGAAAACTGGAAATAATAATACCACCACATATATTTTTTCTCTATGAAAACAAAAATAAAAGACAGTACTGAAACAAACATGTGATATAATTAATAATTGTTAATAATGCTTCATGTTAAAAAAAAAAAAAAAATTGCTGCTACTGACATTTGTAGTGTAAAAACAAAAACCAATATGGTAGAGAGAGAGATTGTGGAATGGCATGATGAGTAATGTTTAATTTGATCTTTGGTGAGCTTTAGGGCAGCTTTATAGTTCAGACATTTAAAGTAGTAGCTATCTTCACCAAGAGTTCAAATCTCATGCAGAGATTTATTATTATTATTATTATTTCTGATCATGTGACATCTACTCACTGCCACAGATTGACTGCCTGAGGTAAGACAAGATAAAAACCAACTAAAAAATTAATTTGTCAAAAGTAATTATAATAATACTGCATATGGCTCTTTCTATAATTTATTTCAAAGAAGGTAGCCCTAAAAGTTATCAAAGGTCATTTTCATATACCTCTTTCTTAATAAAAATAAATGGTAAGGAAAAAATCTAGCAATAAAAAGATTTAACATTCTTATATACATTTTGTGTCCATACAAAGGTGAAAATCTTAGCAGCACTAAAACAAATTTATGACAGTATGAATATTGAAAAGTATTTCTTTCCTTAAATTTCTTTCAATTCAACAGACAAATAACGAACCAGGCTTTCATATTCAAACATATCCCAGTTTATACAGCAGAGTAGCATTGAATTAAAAAAAAAAAAAAAAAAACTGTGTATAAGTCAAAAACAGAAATTCAACAAAGGGCAGAGGGAGGGAGGGCTTATGGTTAACACATATGTATACATGATTAATAAAAAATGTGAAATAAAACAGAATTCAAAGTGAAAAATAAAATTGTAAATGAACATATGAATCAATATTGATACTAAGTAGTGCTAAAAGCAATGAAATGTTCACTTGATAATAATGTTGTTGTTGTTACGAAAAACAAATAGAAAAAGAAAAGCCTAAAATTTTTCCAAAATGTCTCTGAATAGATTTTGGCAGTAAATGGCTGTCTATAATATTGGGAAAGTCCTTAAAAAGAAGCACTCTTTTGATGAGCAACATACTAAGGCTGTCAAAATCAAGACATTTACTGAACAACATTTAGTCAAGAGAATCTCGATACATAGAAATACCACGCATGTTGTGTATATAAAGATAGATGGTACTAGAAAGAGGAAAGCAGATATAGTGAGAGAAAAAAAAATCATAAGTTTGTAGTCATTGAATTTATTTAAGCCATAACTAGAAAAAAATGTTAATTCGATATACTAACCAATTTTAAAGAAATTGGTAAATAACAAGGGGAATATATACAATTTCAAATTTCACATCCACTAAATATGGCAACTGTTGAATGTGTCTATATATAAGTACATTTAAGAAAATTTGTTGTGGTCAGGAATTCAGAGCACTGTCACTCATCTAGGCTAAAGTAAGAGAAGCAACAAAACAATTATGATTTAAAAAAAAAAAAAAAAAAAATTATGTTCAATGTCAGGAAACTTGCTGAAGGCCTCTAGTAAGGACAGATCATTTGTCAGCAAATGGAAAAAAAACTGAAACAAAATATTCTAAGCATTCAAATGCCATAAAGATGACAGTTTTTACACCAGGTCCTGTTTATCACTGGATCATGAAGCCAACAAATTGATGTGGATGATCACAAGGCATCACAAA